TAAAATCTCCATTCCGACCCCACTATAGAGGAAGGATACTGTAAAAGCTCCATTCCCAACCCACTCCAGAGCAAGGATACTGTAAAATCTCCATTCCTACCCCACTTCAGAGGAAGGATACTGTAAAATCTCCATTCCCTCCCCAATCCAGGGGAAGGTTACTGCAAAATCTCCATTTCCTCCTGATCAGCTGGGACTTGGGAGGCAGAGAAAAGATGGGGGTGAGGCAGTCAGAATTTTTACTACCGGTTCTCTGAACTACTCAAAATTTCCACTACTGGTTCTCCAGAACTGGTTAGAACCTGCTGAAACCCACCTCTGGTTTGTCCCCATTTTGATCTTCACTATTCTAGTAGTAAGGATTTTCTTCCTTTAAGGGTCTGGAACAGTGATGGGTTCTGCCCGGTTCCGCCCGGTTCTGCCGAACCAGTAGCGGTGACGATATGATGTCACTGAACCGGTTCTGCCCCTCCTGCCCCCCTGCATTATTCTTATCTTTTATTTGGCCCCACCCCCAATCTATTGCTGCCTCCTGAGCAGGGCCGGATTTAGATTGAAAGAGGCCCTAGGCTATTCCACTTATGAGGCCCTTTCACCAGTGGTGGGATTCAATATTTTAACAACAGGTTCTGTGGGCGTGGCTTAGTTGGAGGTGTGGTTTGGCAATCATTTATTTATTTATTTTTATTATTCGAATTTCTATATCGCCCTTCTCCTTTCGGACTCAGGGTGGTGAACAGCCAGAATAAAAAACATTTATACATAAGTACGATTAAAAAATAGATTTAAAATAATTAAATTTGGCCCATAGTTTAAAATTTATCAATTTAAAATCCATATCAAAATTTAAAACCAACCATAAAATCATAAAATCAAGAGAGACTGGCTAACTGAAAGAGATGAGTTTTTAGGGCCCGACGAAAAGTCCGGAGGTCGGAGATCACTCGTATCTCTGGGGGTAGATTGTTCCAAAGGGTAGGTGCCACCACAGAGAAGGCTCTCCTCCTGGGGGTCACCAGCCGGCATTGTCTAGCCGACAGCACCCTGAGGAGGCCCTCTCTGTGGGAGCGAACTGGCCAGTGGGAGGCTATTGGTGGCAGAAGGCGGTCCCGTAAGTACCCTGGCCCTAAGCCATGGAGCACTTTAAAGGTGATCACCAACACCTTGAAGCGCACCCGGAAGTCCACCGGAAGCCAATGCAGCTCGCGCAGGAGAGGAGTCACATGGGAACGCCCAGTCGCTCCCATAATCCCCCGCGCGGCCGCATTCTGCACCAGTTGGAGCCTCCGGGTGTACCCCAAGGGGAGCCCCATGTAGAGAGCGTTACAATAGTCCAGACGAGAGGTGACGAGTGCTTGAGTGACTGTGCGTAGGGAGTCCCGATCCAGAAAGGGGCGCAACTGGCGTATCAGGCGAACCTGATAAAAAGCCCCCCTGGCCACGGCCGTTATATGCCCTTCTAAAGACAGCCATGCGTCCAGGAGGACGCCCAAGTTGCGGGCCCTTTCCGTGGGGGCCAATGTTCGCCCCCAATAACCAGCGATGGCATCAGCTGGCTATACCGGGACGCCGGCAGCCACAGCCACTCGGTCTTGGAAGGGTTGAGTCGAAGCCTGTTTCTCCCCATCCAGACCCGCACGGCCTCCAGGCACTGGGACATCACTTCCAAGGCATCGTTGGGATGGTCTGGGGTGGAGATGTGCAGCTGAGTATCATCAGCGTACTGATGGAACTCCACCCCAAAACCATGGATGATCTCACCCAGCGGCTTCACATAAATGTTGAACAGGAGGGGTGAGAGGACCGACCCTTGTGGCACCCCACAAACAAGGTGCCTCGGGGTCGACCGCTGCCCCCCTGTCAACACAGGTTGCGACCGGTCGGAGAGATAGGAGGAGAACCACCGCAAAACGGTGCCCCCCACTCCCAGTCCCTCCAGCCGGCGCAACATGATACCATGGTCGATGGTATCAAAAGCCGCTGAGAGGTCTAACAGGACCAGGATAGAGGAGTAACCCCTATCCCGAGCCCTCCAGAGATCATCCACCAACGTGACCAATGCCGTTTCCGTGCTGTACCCAGGTCTGAAGCCGGACAGCCAAGCTGTCTCAGGAATTCTGGAAGTTGAAGTCCATAGGTTGTAAAAGAGCCACAATTGCCCACCCCTGGCTACGGTAGGCTGGCGCCGCGTGGGTGGGAGGCGAGGGGCGGGCGAGCCAGCAATTTAACAAAGGGCTCGGCCGAACCCCCTAGAACCCCCAGAATCCCACCACTGTGTAGGCCCCTCTTGATCTTGAGGCCCTAGGCTGAAGCCTAGTTAGCCTATAGGAAAATCCGGCCCTGCTCCTGAGTCCCAGCTGATCGGCTAGAAGGAAAAAAACTGTTTAAACTCTTGCCGCGGGGCTTCAAAGGGCCGCCCTACAGCTGATCAGTGTTAAAAGGCAGTGTGGTGGTAGACTGGTGCCTCCTAAAACAAATGAGTAGATCGGTGCCTGCAAAAACAAATGAGTAGACCGGTACAGCTCTGCAAGCAGTTAAAAGCCTGGTAGACCAGTACCTCTGCTAAATCCTAAAGAATTGTCACATGACCATCAAGCCACACCCACAAAATAAGCCACGCCCACAGAACCAGTAGTAAAAAAATTTAGAACCCACCCCTGGTCTGGAATGATTGGTAACTTCGTGGTGTATCTTTTTTTCACACAACTGTGAAAGGATTTTGTTGCCGTTGTTGGTTTGCCATGATGCAGAACACTCCATTATCAAAAGCATCTGGAACTACCACATAAAACAGAGTAGTTGGCAACTCCAAAGCAATCCGATGAAATTAAACAAAATAGTACTTTTATTTTCCTCAACAAAGCAATTGGAACAGCCTTCAAGACAATTCGGCCCATGTCCTTCCTGACTCTTGGTGTAGGGTTTCCTGCCTGAGCAGGGGGTTGGACTAGAAGACCTCCAAGGTCCCTTCCAACTCTGTTATTCTTCAGAGAGAGATTTAGAGACAATTGAAAGTTCTGCTGTCTGAAGAGTGGCACCTCATAACCTTGGTGTCTGCTTACTTTGCTGATTTTCTTATGCTTAAGTTCTATGGTATTATTTGTAAGTCGCTCAGAAAATTCCAAAATGGAGCGACATATATGATAGCACAACAAATAAATACTAAATAAAAATTACAAGAGATGTAATTATTTCTCAGGATTTGAGCCATTAAAAAAATAAACTTCGTTTACTAAAGAACATCTTGGAAAGTAAACACCAATGTTTGTTCATCCGTGTGTCTTGTGATATTTCCAAATGTCTCTTAGTTGTCACATGTGTGAAAATAAGTTTTTTGGAGACATTTGCATTACAACCATGAAATGAATTCCTGTTGTTCGACTGAAAAGGTTGTATCAGATATATATACTTGTTTATTTGCAAGTGTTATCTGCCGCTTTGATATAAATATCATAAAACAAACTTTACCGAAGTGTTCAAATGCTTAGGGCCAATAGACTATAATTATGTGTCACTGAAGTTCTTAAGTTATTAGAGCAATTTTTCTTCCCCAAGCTTAAGAAAGCCCTAAACTACCTCATTTTTTCCTCTCTTATTACAATTATTAATAAGATATCATTCTTATCACCTATTATGCAAAGGGCATTATAGATATGCCAACTCATTTTTTTTTATTAACGGATAAAATGGATTTTTTCCCCTTCTCCTCATAATTAAAGGTTGTTTCCCCAGTTTCTGTAATTAAAGCCTGTTATGAACAGAAGTATGTTATTTGGGGGGAAAAAATCTTAATGAAAGATTTATGGAGTGCTAGTCTTTCTAAAGCAACTTGTGGACTTTTGCCCTCTGGAAAAATTAAAGGATTTAATCCCAGTTCTCTGCTTTGAGTGTATGAACTGTAAGGTTAAAGATTAGTATTTGCAATTTTCTGTGCCTTTTAGACAAAGTTTGCTAATGGCATCAGTTGAAGCCTTTAAATTACAGAAAGCCACACAATTTGGGGAAGAGAAAAATGGCCAGGGAGCTGGGGCTGAATCCAGCATGTTGTATGAACCAACAGGGGGTTGGTCCCAGTAGTGGTTTTCAATTTAGTTTGCTACCGGTTCACTCGTGCATGCAGAAGCATCCGGGCAGGTGGGCAGAGCCTCCCTTCGCTGCCGCTACCAGTTCGCACAGCTTGGGGCCAACTGGTAGCAACCCCCCACTGGTTGGTCTCAAGAATTTTATTTATTTTTATTTATTTAGTTTGTCAAACATGTACGAGATAACAGGAATAGATATAAACATGGATATTAATGCAGGAAATGGGTATGAATAAATGGGGACAGTAGGACAGGGACAGAAGGCATCCTGGTGCACTTATACACGCCCCTTACAGACCTCTTAGGAATGGCGTGAGGTCAACAGTAGACTGTTTGTGTCTACTGTTTTTTTTGTATTTTGTATTAGGGTTGTTTTTGTTTTGTTTTGTTTTGTTTGTATTTATGTCAGGAATTGAAATGAATTTCTGTACCTGATACACTGGTGTTCTGTTCCTCCAGCTCCTTCCCTTTATTATCTTAGTAAATAAATAAATAAAACAACCTCAGCCAGCCCAGTCTTCCCAGTGTCCTCTCAATGGGAAATGTAAATGATACCGAATGAGCTTCAACTTATGGCCTCCCTGAGCTCTAAAACAAATTGCAAGGGAAGTGTCAGTTTAGCGTGCCATTCGGCACGGAAATCAGCCTACCTTCTTCAAAAGCGCCTGCAGTCATTTATCATGCATAGCGTTATTACAATAAATACCCAAGGATTTGTAGTGGGAATGATGAGTCACTTGTAAATGGTTGCAAAGTGGATAAAGAACAAAATATATTTACGTACTGCTTAACTCCTGATACATTTGAAAGTGGTTGGCCTGATGAAAACAGCACAGCCGTAATCTGAAATATGCAGTAATTTTTTTGCTCTAATGTGTTTTTTTTTTCCTTCTTTCTTTCTTCTCTTTTGACTTGCAGGTTTCTTGAGCACTGGGGATCAAGCAGCTAAAGGGAATTATGGCCTTCTTGATCTCATTCAGGCCTTGAGATGGACTAGTGAAAATATTGGGTTCTTTGGGGGCGACCCGCTGAGAATAACTGTTTTTGGATCTGGCGCCGGTGGTTCATGTGTCAATCTCTTGACTTTATCCCATTATTCTGAAGGTAACCGTTGGAGCAATTCAACCAAAGGTATTATTGCAGGTTGCAAATTTTGATGATTTTGGTGTCTGCATGCCACCACCATGCCTACTCTGTGATGCTCTTGCATATATGTTCTTGATGTGTCTAGATAATGCCCCCCAAAATAAATTTGGGGTTGAGGCTATGTACCTTTTGGTTTGAGGTTATGTACCTACACTTTATGCCAGGGGTGTCAAACTCAAGGCCCGTGGGTCAGATCCGACCCATGGGGTGCTTAGATTTGTCCCTCAGGGCCGCCCTGGAAACAGCAAAGGATCAACCCATGGTGCCTCTGCCAGCAAAAAACGGAGCTCAGGAGGGCCGCGCGTGGCTCTCCTGAGCTCTGTTGTCAGCCACAACAGCCTCCTGCAGTCCTCTGCCGGAGAAAACGGAGCTCAAGGGAGCGCCGTTTTCGCCAGCAGAGGGCTAGCAAAACAAACTAAAAACAAAACAAAAGGAGAAATGTTTTGCCTTTTGCATTCGAGCATGCAAGAAGGGCCAGGAAAGGAGAAAGGGAAAGAGGAAAGACAAAGAAAAAGAAGGGAAGATGGGAAGAGAGCAAGGAAGGAAAAATAAGGAAAGAGGGGAAGGAAGAAGAAAAAATGAAGAATGAAGGAAAAAGAAAAGGAAGGAAGGAGATTATAATGAGAGTGAGGGAAGATCTGAGGGAAGTCCTTCCTTAGCTCTTGGCCACCACAGGTGCCCCGACACGAGCAACGTTGAGCTGGCCATGCCCCCTGGCCATTCCCCCCTCCCCCCGAGGTCAAACAACTTTGATGTGTCCCTCAATGAAATTGAGTTTGACACCCCTGCTTTAAGCAAACTGAATTTCTATGTATTTCTTCTGCCGTAACAGTTTTTTTCCTCTCCTTTACATGTATGTATGTTTGTCTCTGTGTAATATATTTAGTTTAGTTAGTTTGTTTCGTTAGGCTTCAGGAGTATGTATAGTAATTACTGTCACAAGTACTTTCACAAGCACAATAAGGGGGTATTGATAATTCAAACAAACAAACCTTCGATCATACTTCCAGAAGGAGTGTGAACTGAATAGTGCAGATGCAAATTATAAGTAAGGTTTTAATTTATTTATTTAATACATCGCTTTTCTGAAGCAAAAAGTATTTCACAGTAAGTAGTAAGTAAATAAAAAATTGGGGAAAAAAATGATTTTAATGCCATAGTAAGTCCCAGTTATTCATAAACTATATTAATATTTTCCAGTTAGTGAACAATAATTGGGAAAATTATCAGCTGTGATCCATGATACAGCCTAACTAAACTGAGCTGTATGTCACTACAGTATTTATTTCTTGAAGGGAAGGTTGATGGTATGGGAGACTCTGAATCCCTCATGCCAGTTGCTTTTCCAGTTTGGTTCTTCTTTTCATAATTAAATTATGTACTGGGTATAACAAAAGTTTTGTTTTGTTTTTTTAATTCCATCCCATATTGAAACCCACCATTATCTAATGAAACAATATGGTGGGGTTCAAAGGAGATGTTCTTTCATTTGGCAGTTTTTTTACACAGAGATGTGATGTCATGATGGTCACCAGGGTAGGTGGTTGGAAACGAGGATTAGATGAAATCATGGCTATTGATGCCTACCAATCATACTTGGAAGATGTATCCAGATCAGGGGTGGGTTCTAAAATTTTTTACTACCGGTTCTGTGGGCGTGGCTTATTTTGAGGGCGTGGCTTGGTGATGTGACAGGGTGGGCGTGGCCAACTTTTTTTTTTTTACTTTTAAAAGCATTTTTTCTACAACCTTAAGAGATTGCAGAAAAAAATGCTTTCAAAAGCCTCTGACAATCAGGCAACTCAGCGGGGATCGCCAGAGGCTTTTAAAGGCATTTTTTTTTTCTACAACCTCTTTGGCCGAAGAGGTTGCAGAAAAAATGCTTTCAGAAGCCTCTGATGATCCCAGCTGAGCCGTGTGATCATCAGAGGCTTTTTTTTTTTACTTTTAAAAGCATTTTTTTCGGCAGAAGAGGTTGTAGAAAAAATGCTTTTAAAAGTAAAAAAAAAAAAAAACCTCTGATGAGGTGGGCAGGGTAAGCAAGCGGTGATTGGGCCGGGGACTGGTTCGGGGGCGTGGCCAGCCAATGTTATCACCAGTTCTCTGATCTACTACAAATTTTTACTACCGGTTCTTGCGAACCGGGAGCAACCCCCCACTGATCCAGATGTTTCTGATATTTGGAAGAGGCCCATTCTTAAAGTCAAGTCAAGGTTGTGAGCTTTCAAAAGTATTTCAAAAGCACTTGAGACTCCATTAAAACTGTAAATTTGAAAAGCTATGCCCTCAGTTTCATCCATCAATGCTTTCTAAAGGTTTTAAACACATCAATTGGAACAAGTTTTTTTTTTCTGATCCTCTTTAGAATTCGATGAAAACACAAGTACAGTACATGCTAGCAAAATGTTTTCTTGTGAGAAAGTGGGTATATATTTTATTTCCATTTCTACATCTATGTCTATCAAGATATGTAATAAGGAACATTTTCTGGAGAGGGAGTTAGTGACATTTGCACCATTCAAAATCTAGTTTGTGATCGGAGGCCTACTTAAGGCACAATTAATAGTAGGAGGATGGCAAACTCATTTACTATGAAGAAAATGAGCACCTCATCCAAAAAGCTTTTATTTTGAATCTGTTGTGAATTACACTTGGTACCTAAGGAAAAGACTAAAATTATAGATATAGAAGGTTATTACTGTGGCTTTTCCTTTACTCAGTATGTTTAACTCTTTGCTGCATGGAAAGCTGGAAGCCTCTCTCCTATTTAGCACATTTATACCAATTACCATAAAATAAAATAAAATAATAAAATAAAATAAAATATAAAATAATAAAATAAAATAAAATAAGAAAATATAATATATAAAATAAAATAAGAAAAAACAAAAACAATGCCACTACCCACTTCTTCTTTCCTATAGACTCACTTGCAAGAAGAGAAACTATAATAGATTTCTCATGTTTTGTTAATATGGATTTATATTAATCAAATCCAACCCTTCCATAGAATCCAGGACAGCTTACTGACATTGTGAACATTGTGAATTAAAAAAGAAACCTTTAAACAATAAAGGCTTGTCCAAAATAGCTCTGTTTAAATCAATGTTCAACATTATAAAGAAAATTGAAATTTTTTTGGGGGGGGGAATCATGCTCTGTATTGGACTACAATAATATCACAACTTGAACAAATTGAGATTTTCATGGGAAATCATTTCAGTCTATTTTTAATTCTTGAGTGGATCGTTTTGTTGTAATAATCTGTGGCGCCTTTCACAGAAGCCTATGAAAAAAGCTTCCACTTAAAACTGGTATATAAATGACTTGTTCATTCTCTGTCTTCTCTCTTCTTTTAATTTGTGTAATTTCAATCTCTTGGTGACAGCCTAGTAATTACATTCAAATAGCAACTTACATCTCTTGACATTTGCCCTCCAAACCAAACCCAGAACCATAACTTGGGACAGATTTATTTCCAATTCTGATTTAGCAAACAAGCCTAAATTACTCTTATAAAACTGGATGTACTTAGTAAATGATGGTCTGCCTAAAAATGGGACAGGGAAATAAAGCTCTGAGCTCTGGTTCAAAATACTTTCCCTTAAAATGTTCTGGTGAACTTTTCCAAGGTCTCCGAGTCCCACTGGACCAACATTCAAAAGTTACTGAGAACAGTAGGTAGTCAGAACAAGCTTCTTGTTTTGTCAGTAACCATTTCTGAATGACTGTCTATTAGAGTTTGCTAGCTGTTTCCTACTACATAATTCAGAATGAAGTGGGAAAGTGGGTGATTTTAAAAAAAAACAAATAAACTAAAAACCATATCAACCAATGGAAATTGTAGTTTGACATTTTTTAAACAAATCATATCCTGCCTGACAAGTAGAGTTTAATCCATCTCTTTACTGGATTCTTTGCTTCTTTTTATTGTGGGATGGAGGCATACTCTGACTCTGTAAACAGCTTAGAGAGGGCTGTAAAGCACTGTGAAGCAGTATATAAGTCTAAGTGCTATTGCTATTGTTTTTTTTCCATTCCTTTCACTCCCTCTCAAATAGGACAGGACAGAACAGATCTTCTTTTATTGACTTCTCCCCTCCTCCTCCTCCTTCTCCTCCTCTTCCTCTTCCTCCTCCTCCTCCTCTTCCCTTGCAAATGTTCAAAATTACAGCAATAGCAACCAATGCCTTTATGTGAGGGCAACTACAATGCTGTTAAGGATATTCTTGGCTCATAACCGATGTTGTGGGTTATTGAGCAGAGTACCCTTTGAGTAAACGCATGAAAAGTGACTGGGAGTGGTTGTGAACAATCACAGTTAACATACAAACAAACTGAGTTGTTGTAGTCTTTTACTTTTAGACAAAAGTAAAGCAAAGTCCAAAAACAATCCAAGTCGTACACAGATAAGATGAGAGTTAAAAGATCAATCCAGGGATATTTCGAGTACAAAATCTTCTTACCAGTGGTAGTCATACACAATAAAACAGTTCTTCTTGAGTTTCAAAACAGGAACAAGTTCAGTATCAAAACATTTAATAAATAGTAGAAAGCAACATGTAGCTATGATCAAACAGTAATCATGCAGAGAGATCAGGTAGAGAGTTACAGCAAATAAGCAGGTAAAATGGTGTAGTATCCACACAAGCCATGATCCTGACTTCCCTTAAATACATTGGCTACAGAGCTTAGCCAATCAGGATACAGGATGATGCAATACAGTCTTAAAGCAATATAATACCTTTCTGATTGCAAACTTACATTGTTGGTTTATATATTGCCTGACCAACTAGTTAGACAAATAACCATTTCCTAACAAATGCCAACCTCATTCCAGTAACTAGGAAGAGGGAAAGATGGGGATCAACATACTGGGTTTAAGGCCTACTATATTTGTCCTCTACTTCATGAGTTGGAGGGTTTCTAGCCTGTGAGGTGAGTCCTAAGAAATTCTGTAACTTCTGAAAGATCTCCACATTTTGATCAGATTGTCCCAAAGATACTTTTTCAGGAGGCAACTGGACTTCCTTTTTTTTTTTTCTTTTGAAGATGTTTTGCTTCTGCAGGCTAACTCACAAGTGTCAATCCTATTTATTGCTATTTACAGTCCACAAAGTGCTTCTGGCTGTCATAAAATGTTATGTCACTCAGTCCCCACACCTCAGATTCATTCTGGGCACTTGAAACTGATTTGCCTTAATGACAGTTTGCAGAGTCCGTCGACCATGTGATTACAATTTGCAATGGTTTTTGCCAGTTTCTGGCAAAAATACCACCACCACCCATTCAGAAGAATTGGTTAAACTTACAAGTACATTATTTGGTTGACTACTGTGAAATCACTTACTGACCATCACAAAAATATGTCATAAAATTGGATTTGGTCAAGTGAGGGCCTCGAGATTTATGTTAAATCGGGTCCCAATTGGGATTGTATTATCTGCATTGTATTAAATCCTATTTTGCCTTATAAAATTAATAGCCTCTATTCAATAAGGGATTGTTGTTTTTTTGCAAATGTGGAAAGCATCAAAAAACTTAGGAAGTTATGTTGCCAGAAGCAAAAAATTGCTTAAGTGCCTACCTAGTGGTCAGAAATCTTTTGAACCCCCAATGACCATCATACAATCCTGCAAAATGCCCAGCTGCAAATTACCCAAATTCAAAAGATTCTGCATCCTCGTGCTGAAATATTCCAAGATCTCATGTGAGAAAATGGAAAAAAATCATGCATTTTCATTTGAGATTTCAGGATTCTTCTGCTAGATATCATTACACTTCAATGTTCTCTCTTGTGTGAGATTTCAATCAATTTTTTGTGCTAAGCTTTCAGGAACCATCAGGAGAACTGACAAGGTTTTAAGGTTTTGCCAATATTTAACAACATCCCAAGTCTCTGTAGCAGGGATGAAATCCAGCAGGTTCTGACAGGTTCTGGAGAAAAGGTAGCGTAAATTTTGAGCAGTTCGGAGAACCAACAAATACTACCTCTGGCTAGCCCCAGAGTGTGGTGGGAATGGAGATTTTGCAATATCCTTTCCCTAGGAGTGGGGAAGGAATGGGAATTTTGCAGTATCCTTCCCCTGCCACGCCCACCAAGCCACACCACGCCCACCAAGCCACGCAGAATCAGTAGTAAAAAAAAAAATGGATTTCACCACTGCTCTGTTGTGTGAGGTCTTTTCAGTGTCATTGCAACTTCAAATAGTAATTAAATGAACGATTGCAAATCAAGTATAACCTGTACTTGGATAAGGTCTTTTTACTTTTAAACTTTCCGCTGCCTTGAAATGATGCTGAGAACTATTAAATTGCATGGTCCTGTGTTTCCAGACAGGGAGATCATCCCTTCCCTGCAGAGAAGGAGTCTTATTTTCAATTTATTTTTTGATTCCCACCTGTCAGGTTTTTGAAGTCGCATTCATTCAATTAAAATACCTTATTTTACGATTGCCTGACTGGCCTCCACAGTTAATTGCTTAATGCTGCTCTAATCATTCAAGAGAACTGCTTCCAAATACATGGGGCTGTGCAAAACAGTCATATCTTTGAATCGATGAAGTAGTCGGATCTTTCTCTAGCTCCACAACATTAATTCCTAATCTATTTCAGGTTGCTTTTGAGGTTTCACCTTTGAACCATGGATGTATAAGAGAAAAACTTTCGAATGGTCCGAAATGCCTCTGAAAAAAGAATGTGTAGCAAATCTAGAGCAATATAACAAATTCATTTCCTGATAGGTTCAATATCAAGTTAGAAATTATTTAAACACATACAGAGAGAGAGAGAGAGACACATGCACACACACCAGGGAAGGAAGAATTGTTTCCATTTTTTTGTTTGTGCAAACATGAGCCTCATTATTTTGGACAGGTAATACTTCTATGGAAGACTGTTCTAGTCCCACCTTAGACACAAAGCCAGCTGAGTGACCTTGGGCCAGTCACCCTCTCTCAGATCTACAGTAGTGGCCAAAATTGTGGAAACCTTTTGGGAAAAGTGTATTTTCTAAAACTAACTAATAACACCACTTTTTTTTTTGAGTAATACCATAAACTTATATATCAATGGAAAGATAATTTAATCAAGAATGGAATGCAATAACATTTATAAAGGATTTGCTATTAGCATAGCAGTTACAGTATAAAGAAGAAAAGTGAAACACGTAGAAAAAATGAGATATACAAACATTATCACCATAGAAAAATGAGATATACAAAAATTATCACGTTAGTTAATACTTAGTTCGGTAAACCTTTAGCATGAATTACGGCCTTACAACGTCTTCCCATGGAGTGAACCAAGTCTTTTAGTTCTGCAGCTGTTATCATGTGAAACCAAGATTGAATGATTGCTTCTATTAACTGGGTTTGGCTCCATAGATTTTCAAGTGGGTTAAGGCAGTGGTTAATTCTGAATCGGTTTGGTACTGGTTTGCTGGCCGCACAGGCGCGCCACGCACCAAAAGTAGGCTTGGGAAGGTAAGTAGAACAGCGAGGGGGGATCAGCTGTGCTGAGTGATTTAGCTTCGCTAGAAAGCAGGATTATCTGCCTCCTAGCAAAGCTAAACCCTGCAGCACAGCTGATCATCGGAAATACCGGTTCAGAGGAACTGGTAGCTTTTCTTTACTACTGGTTCACCCGAACTGGAGCGAACCAGTAGCATTTCACCCCTGGGTTAAGGTCTGGGCTATTCCCAGGCCATTCCAGCAGTGGAATATGATTATCTTGAAACTCCCCAAAAAAGTTATGGTTATCAGTTATGGTTTGATGGTTATTAGCCATCAAATCTCAAAAATACACTTTTCCCAAAAGGTTTCCACAACTTTGGCCACTACTGTAGGAAGGAGACAATGGCAAACCACTTTAATGGCACTGAAAAAAGTGACCTTTGACCTTTTTCTCACATGACTGTTGCAGCATTCCTGTGGTCACATGACCAAATTTGGGGCTCGAAACAACTGTCCTGTATTTATGATGGTTGCAGTGTCCCAGAGACATGTGCTCACCTTTTGCAACTTTCTGACAAGCAAAGTCAATGGGGAAGCCAAATTCACTGAACAACCGTGGTACTAACTTAACACCTTGCAGTGATTCAGTTAATAATTGTGACAAGAAAGATTGTAAATTGGGGCAAAATTCACATACAGTTTCATTTAGCAACCGAAAGGTTTGGCTCAATGTTGTCGTAAGTAAAGGACTATCTGTAATCTTTCTTACCATGCTTGAACAGAGTGATAGTGTCAGTTCGCAAAGCATCCCTGGCCTGCTCTCGAGGCCGGGGGGATGGGAAACTGGCGAAACTGCACAGTAGCAAAAAAAACAGATGCACATTCCACGCTTATCTCCCTCAAGGCTGTATCCCAGGGATACCTGCAGCAGTCGAAGGGGAGTGACCTCTACAACACACGAAATTGCTCCATTGGCGAATGTGATTGATGACACATTCGCCACGGAATGTGGGGGGAGGGGGGAAACAGGGTCATATTTGGAGCGTAAATTACGGAAGGTCAGAGCTGGCTTCACTTGGGAACCTGCCGACATGAAACTCCTAATAAAAACCTGGATTTCTTTTGAAGCTTGGCTCACGATTTAATTAGGGCATCTGTCGGAACCCTGACAGCTAGAATAAGATTTTTAAACCAGTTCGACTTTTGGCTTAATCCAAACTTAGGAAACATGAGAAAAGATGTCACTGAATGGTTTTCTATGGTTTATATTAAATTCTATGGTGTAAGTAACCAACAGAGAAGCAACAAGCTATAAATAAAATAAATTAAGCAGAGATTCATGAGGCTTTTGGTTAAAAAAAATATACTTCCTGTAGCATTTCGTGTAACAATGTTTCAAAAGGTGGCATATTCTTCCTGAATTATACCTTGAAAGAGAGCAACAAATCCTTGTGCATTAATCTTTTTGCAACACTGTTTCAACCTGCACTAAATTCTGTAGGCCATATGCAAAAATCTAGAATAACACTGTGCAATCAATTGTGCCCCATTTCGTGTATTTATTTTCTTCCTTTTCCCCACTTAAATATCTCAGAATTGGCAGTTAACTACTGCACATAGATGGACTGAAACTGTGTTAAATACCTCTGTGATAAAAAAAAAAAAAACTTGCAAAAGATGATCTGAGATTTTATTCCTTGTCACACTTACTTTGGCTTATTACCAACACTGTAGTTTATCCTATTTGTTACTTTATTCAGTCTTCTGGAAACTGGGATGGAAGCCTTTTTCATAAAATATGAATCTCCATGTTTAGAAATTTGAAATAGGGGCTCCTTCAAATTAGATAATAAAGTGTGCCATAAAGCTGGGTTAAATGCATAATCGGAATTAAAAAATCAGTATGTTTGTAGTTGCTAATAGTTCTTTTCAAAGTTTTATATGGAAGCAGCCTTCCAATAGATTGGGCTCTCTTTCATTATTATTTTATAATAATTATGTGTAGCTCATCTTTGGACATAAATTTGTCGCATAGTTTAGTTGCCCATTTTTCAACCAATTGAGTCTTTCCTCTTCCTACTGTTCTCTTCCTCGTCCTTCTCTATATTTTTTTTCTTTCCTAATTACCCATAGAAAGAGTGAAGGATGTTAGAGGAGCTGTACCAACTACTCCTGCTATACACAGTCTCAGTATTTATCTTGAGAGGATCATTGGATCATTAATACTACATTACACGAACTGTCCCCTATCTGCCAGTCTTCTTCAGCTGTATGGTAGGAGTACTTGTTGCCAGCTAATTATTTTGTAATGCTGAAATCTTAATTCAGATCCTTTAAGCATGTGATCTATAGTCCTCACTGAGTAACATTTTACCCTAACATTATCCTCTACTTTATCACACAGGACTTTTCCAAAGAGCAATAGCTCAAAGTGGAACAGCTCTTTCCAGCTGGGCAGTCAGTTTTCAGCCTGCCAAATATGCCAGGATGTTGGCAACAAAAGTTGGTTGCAATGTATCGGACACCGTAGAATTAGTAGAATGTCTACAGAAGAAGCCGTATAGAGAACTTGTCGATCAGGATATTCAGCCGGCCCGATACCACATAGCCTTTGGTCCAGTTATTGATGGGGATGTGATACCAGATGACCCTCAGATACTGATGGAACAAGGAGAATTCCTCAATTATGACATTATGTTGGGTGTTAACCAAGGAGAAGGGCTCAAATTTGTGGAAAACATTGTTGACAGTGAAGACGGCATATCTGCTAGTGATTTTGACTTTGCTGTCTCAAACTTTGTCGATAACTTATATGGGTACCCGGAAGGCAAAGACATCTTGAGAGAAACTATTAAATTTATGTATACGGATTGGGCGGACAGACACAATCCTGAAACAAGAAGAAAAACACTCTTGGCTTTATTTACTGATCACCAATGGGTTGCACCAGCCGTGGCTACCGCTGATCTTCATTCAAACTTCGGCTCGCCTACATATTTTTATGCCTTCTATCACCATTGCCAAACAGATCAGGTTCCTGCATGGGCAGATGCTGCTCATGGAGATGAAGTTCCGTATGTATTAGGAATTCCCATGATTGGTCCCACTGAATTGTTTCCTTGTAATTTTTCAAAAAATGACATCATGCTAAGTGCGGTGGTGATGACATATTGGACAAACTTTGCAAAGACTGGGTAAGTCCTGGAGGAGTACCTAGATGTTAATGTAGATCAAGAACTAATCAACAAAACCACAGTTCCCCATCATACCATACAACATTGCAGAGAAATAAATATATATACCGGTAATCCCCGACTTACAACAGTTCATTTAGTGATTGTTCAAAGTTACAACGACACTGAAAAAAAGTGATCCATGACCCATTTTCAGCCTTACAAATATTGCAGCATCTCCATGGTCATGTGATAAAAATTAAAACACTTTATTTATTTTTTATTTATTTTTTTTATTTTTTTTTTAGATTTTTATACCGCCCTTCTCCTACTGGACTCAGGGCGGTGAACAGCCGAGAATAAAAACATCACATGCAAAATTTAAGATTAATTTTAAAAGAATTAAACAAGTTTTGGCCCAATATAAAATTTAAAACACCCCAACTAAAATCAATTTATAATTAAAAATATCTAAAAATATCTAAGGGGGAGGGGAGGGTCAAGCCAGCCCAGCTTGATGAAATAAAAAAGTTTTAAGGGCACGGCGAAAGACCCGGAGATCCGATATCCTTCGTATCTCCGGGGGCAAATCGTTCCAGAGGGCAGGAGCTGCCACAGAGAAGGCCCTCCCCCTGGGGGTCGCCAGCCAACATTGCCTGGCCAACGGCGCCCTGAGGAGTCCCTCTCTGTGGGAGCGTACTGGCCGGTGGGAGGCTATCGGTGGCAGAAGGCAGTCCCGTAAGTACCCAGGCCCTAAGCCAACTGGCCACTTGGCAACTGGCATGTATTTATGACAGTTGCAGTGTCCCGGGGTCATGTGAACACCTTTTGCGACATTCTGACAAGCAAAGTCAACAAGGAAACCAGATTTACTCAACAAGCGTGTTACTAATTTAACAACTGCAGTGATTGGCTTAACAGTTGTGTCAGGGAAGGTCATAAAATGGAGCAAAACTCACTTAGTAACATAAATTTTGGGCTCAGTTGTGGTCGTAAGTCGAGGACTACCTGTACGTGTAGGTTGTTAAAGAAGGACAGTGTGGAAATTGAAGCATGGACATTTTAAATAGTTTTGGAGAAATTATAATGAGCCAGGGCAACTCTCAGAAACTAATGCAGATATTCCCACAAGCACTAACACACACTGGGGGGGGGAACTATTTCTGATGAAGGATCATTAAAATTTACAGATGATTGAATTTTAATGCTCTGGCCATTTTCTCTCATATAGAAAAACTCCTTGTTTTTCTGCTTCAGGCAGAAAGGAGTAAGAGACAGATGTTTGAGAAAGGTGGGTAGATCTCATTTGAAGGAATTCTAGCAAGATCTGATGGTAAATAACTTTCAGCACATGTACCAGTGAATATAAAGGGACAAATTGCACTGAATTGATTAATGCATAGATAACGTATCTGCAGCAGCACTGAGACAAGTGAGCAAATAACCCTGCATTATAAGGTCATTGCAGGGATTACAATGAGTTAATAAATTCAGAATCTTGGAATATTCTGAAAGTCCTTCTTGCAGTTATAGTATTGCTAGGAGGTAGCATGAAAATAATTGGCTGATTTATGGCTGCAAACACATCCATTGCTACTGCACTTAATGTAATATTATTTAAAATGTTTTGGTTTTTTTTGAAAAGTATATTAGATGGATTATTAATGAAAGGTTGGGTAAAGGGAAAGCTTCACCTTCAAAACTATTATCTTCATCAAAATTAGCTCCAGGAAAGAAAGAAATACAAACAAACAAGCTAAGGATGGGAATTGGCTTTATGGCATACCTTGCTAAACCAGAGATATGAAAGAAGTCTAGCTTGTAAAGGTACATACTGTATATTTGGAGAATGTTTACAAACACACAAATATAATTTTTGCATAAAAAAAATATACCGATGGCTTAAAATATACTTTCGTGGAAATAAGCAGGTAATAACAATTGCAGAATTTGTTAAATAACTTGAATAAAAATGGTCAGACTTGGCTAATATACAATGTGCACCGTAGACTGGATTTAGACCGAACTAAATTTCCACTAGAGATACCTAACTAGCTATTATAGGAAAATGATTCTGAACTTGTTTGAACCTTGATTTTACTAATGCAATATTATATTATTGTACTCTTAGATTATTGTTGTGAAGCTGATAATAATGATAATAATGATGATGATGATGATGATGATGATGAACATGATATAATGAAACCTGAACTGGGTCTTTTCATTATATTCTTCTCTGTGCTTAGGTAAAATTGGATCTAGATTTAAAATACTTCAGATATTACAACTAATGAGCTTTAATTTAGCAGTAAATGTAGTTCCATGAATTGCATTCAGTCTATTCTTAATATGACTAAGGCTGAATGTTAGTCATATTCTTAATTCATCCTAATTTAAGACTGTGTTTTGTGAGATGTTCTGCTAAGCAGGTAAAAATACTTTTAAAAGAAATACCAATTTTCAAAAAAGCTTGACATTTCCCTTTTTCCTCCTAGGGATCCCAACCAACCAGTTCCACAAGATACTAAGTTCATTCACACAAAACCTAATCGTTTTGAGGAGGTAGCATGGACCAGATACTCTCAAAAAGATCAACTTTATCTTCATATTGGATTAAAACCACGCGTGAAGGAACATTACAGAGCGAACAAGGTGAACCTGTGGTTGGAACTAGTACCTCACCTGCACAATCTTAATGACATTTCACAGTATACCTCTACAACAACTAAAGTGCCATCAACTGATATTACTTTCAGGCCAACCCGGAAAAATTTGGTACCTGTAACATCAGCTTTTCCTACAGCCAAGCAAGATGATCCCAAACAACCACCGAGTCTAATTTCAGGAGATCAAAGAGACTATTCCACGGAGTTGAGCGTCACCATTGCTGTGGGGGCATCCTTGCTGTTCTTGAACATTTTAGCCTTTGCAGCATTATACTACAAAAAGGACAAGCGGAGACATGATGTCCATCGGAGATGTAGTCCTCAGCGTACAACTGCCAATGATCTCACCCACGCACAAGAAGAGGAAATAATGTCCCTCCAAATGAAGCACAGTGACTTGGGTCATGAATGTGAATCCATTCATCCACACGAGGTGGTTCTTCGGACCGCCTGCCCCCCAGACTACACACTAGCTATGAGAAGGTCACCTGATGATATTCCTTTAATGACCCCCAACACGATTACAATGATTCCAAACACTATACCTGGGATTCAACCCTTACACACATTTAATACATTTACCGGTGGACAGAACAGCACTCTGCCACATCCACATCCTCATTCACATTCAACAACTAGGGTATAGCCAAACTAGAGGATATGAACTTTTATTTTTGGGGTGGATTCCAGTGGGTTATAATTGCTGAAGACTTAACTTGGCTTTCAACCCTACAAGACTCTTATTATTTAAATTTGGAGGAATATTATGTGAATATACATATCGAGAACTCGAGGGAGTTGGGGAAAAAATGAATTGTACATATATACAAATGAACTTTAAAAAAAAAAAGAGAAAGCATAACTTTAACAATTGCTTGAAGCAATTGTCTTGAATGGTACTTTTTACATTCACACTCTTATTAATTTTTTTGAGGGTTTAAGTTACATGATGGAATTAGGCACGTGCAACACAGGAATGGGAGAGAAACGACAACTGCAATTTTTTTTAAAAAGTTCTATAAATATGCACAAGGGACACATTGATGGAATGTCAGATCATTTGCACCGGTTTTTATTTGGAACTGTTTTCTTGTGTAGATCATATTTATACCTTTGAATCAGTATCCAAAGCATCAGAGCTGTTCAAGGCCTTAGACACAGGCTCATGTGCTGAGATCTGCCAGTTTTTTGTTTTTGTTTTTTTAAAAAAGTAACCATGTTCTGGAAATCTGGCAGCTTCAACATTATCACACAAGTGCTGTCGGTATAAACATTGTGGGAATAAAAGAACTGAATATTTTTTTTCGCACAACGTGCATGATAATTTATTATGCTTGGTGGGTGTGCTGCTGATTAAGCTGTCATTAAAATCTTCTCTCATGTCATTGGAGTGTCCAACAGAAACTTATTTCCTTGATTGGCTTAATGGAAGGAAGGTTTGTTTTCTAGGGAAAAAAAAAGAAAAGAAATTGTACGTAAACCCCTGCCTTCCATTAATGAAGGTCTCTGCAGTAGCTTCTAGAGAGACTTGATGGTACAAGTCAGTTTTTCCCAACTTAATGTCCTCCAGATGTGTTGGGCTTATTTTTGGTGGAAAATTGACAGTGAAGTCCAAGCTATCTGATGGGCAACATGTTGAGAAAATCTCCTCTAAGGGTTCAGCAGTGAACTAAACAATGTGAAACATTAATGCGACGGTAAATAAGAATAATCTCTCCCTACTCCATCACCACCATACTATTAAGTTACTAGGGCATCTTTTGATGAAGTAAGCCCCATTTGGGTCTAGTTTCATTACAATCTCTTCCATGTACATCAGTATTAGTTCAATGAAAAGAACCACATCAAAAGAACAAGGAAGGTTCCAAGATTTATTTGCTAGGAATATGTTGCCAGAGGTAAAAGTGACCTTCTCAAAAATGATCACAACAAATACAACTTTTCTTGTATTCATATGGCCAATTATATTGCATGAGGACAAATTCACTTAACACGATTTCCAAGTTACTCCCTTTTTTTGCTTTGTGTATCGTCACTGAATCACAGAGTATACAAGGAAGAAGGTTCCTGTCCTTTATTAGATACTGCAATTGGAATAATCATGTGGAATAATCTGGAAATGTTTAATTCTGCATCTTATTTAATATTGTCTGGATCTGAAAACAAAAGTAAGCTAAAATGACAGGATGATTTTACCCCTTTGCCCTTACAGTTATTTTTCAATTTTTTTATTTTTTAAAAAACAGTCTGTCGTGGTCATTTAAAAAAAAAGAAGAAGTTTGTATGTGTAATCATACATTTATATATTAAAAAAAGAGGAAAAAATTAAGATGGACTAAAGAGCACAGCCCTGGTGATTAAAGTTTCTCTTTTCCTGTATTATATTTCTATTAGAGTACAGTTATGTGATTTTTATTTTATTTTGCATTTTTTCAAATGACTAGCAATTTTGATAGTTTGTAAGATAACGCGCAGAACTTTCTCTGACAAACTAACTGCAGTAACAGAAAATGTTTCTTTTCAGTTACTCTTTTTCAAGATTGAAAGCTTATTACACATACAACAAATTGTATACAACTTGATGGGGAAAATTCTTTGTACTTCTGGGCCACTTACGCTGGCTCTACTGAGTGAAAAAATAAAAAGCTAATCTGAATAATGAACATTATAATTATTCCAATGCTAAGAGATCTGGTTATCTGCTCATTAAAGAGCCGAAGTGTTTATTGCTGTTTTGTCATTTTTTAAAAAATGAAGTAATGGTAACTGTCTCAGAATAAAGAGTTATTTCTTGAGATCAATCTGGCTTTTGAAGACTTTTGTATGCTTCTACGAGATCAGATATATTTGTATAGACCGCAGCCTATATTTGGATTAAGTTCTCTTTGGGAAATGTTCAAGTTATGAATACATAAATCATTAGCTGTGATCTGTTGTATACTTACAGGGTAGGATATGTCACCAAACTTTTATAGTGTATAGGATTAGGATCCTTGATTTCCCAATAATATTTCCAAATATTGGCAAAAAAAAAAAAAAAGTGTTTGCAAATTATTTCACACACACAGACACACACGAGATGGTTTCTAATCATATTTTACTACCACCGCAGAAAGAAAAGCATTTTTCTACAAAAAGAAAACATTTGATCAAGCATAAATGTTATCTGCAAACCTGGCAAAATACAGGTAGTCCTCGACTTGTGACCACAATTGAGCCCCAAATTTCTGTTGTTAAGTGAATTTTGTCCCATTTTATGACCTTTCTTTGCACTGGTTGTTAAGGGAATCATGGCAGTGGTTAAATGAGGAACGTGGTTGTTAAATAAATCTGGATTTCCCCATTGGTTTTGCTTGTTGGAAGGTCGCAAAAAGGGGAATCACATGATTCCAGGACATTGCAAATGTCATAAATATGAGTCAATTGCCTAGTAGGGCGTGTCAATTTTTTCAACTTTCAATTTCCAAACGTTAAGGGTGCTCAAAAATCATGACATGCCTTGGGGATTCTAAAGATATTTTGGTTACTTTAATATAATTTAGATGTGCTTGGTAAGTAACATTGGAAGAAATATTCAGCTGGGGAGATGGATATTTCCAAGTGGGGAGAAAGACACTGGAAACATGGAGGCTGATTGGAAAGATGGTTTATTGGTGGACAGGACCACATGGGTTTTAGGCCCTGGGCAGCTGACTAAATGGAGTAGAGAATGAGTGTTATTTATACCTTCTCTTGGGCCTTGCCCTTGAGCTTCCTGTTCCTGTGGCAAGGACATGTATTCTATTGGTTGCTATCAGACTCCCATAGGGCTATACAGAGGTCATAGCTAACTTTGTAGGTTTTCTGAGACAAGCTTGGTTGAAATTTGGGCTGATGCAATGCAGTTCCTATTGTGGCTGAATGGCTTTGCCCTGAAGGCTAATCCCATCATCCTGGAGCTGAAGGCCTTTTGTCTTGTAGATAGGCTGACTCAGTCCTGCTGGGGCTATTAAGGAAGGTGGGGGCTGCTTTCCAAGAGCATGTTTCTCCTTTAGGGAAATATAATATTCTGCCTTTTATAATATCTCCCAAAATATTTCATTCTTCTAGGAGAGGGGTGGGTGCTAACTTTCTACAGTAACTACATACATATTATAACTTCTTAGCATTTTGTTTCCTTTGAATGCCAAGGGCCCGAATTTTGATCACTGGATTGTGGAGATGCTGCAATGATTATTAAGTGTGAAAAATGGTCACGAGTCACTTTTCCAGTGTTGTTGTAACTTGGAATGGTCACTAAATGAACTGTTGTAAGCCGAGAACTACCTGTACATTTTTGAACTTGTGGCTCAGAAGGTTAATTCAACTGCCTAACATTTCTTTTAGCTGTATTTAAAATTAGTACAGATTAAGATTGATGATCTCAGTGATCAAAATGAATCACCTTTTCGGCTGCCTCTTTCCCCTGTTTCCCCTCCAGTAGAAGTTAAAACAGGGAAAGTCTTCAAAATTCAAGGTGGTCTATTTGCAATTTCTGCCTGATGTGGTTGTGACTGTGACCTGCCAAATGTAAACCAATAAAAAGAACTGTTTGCCATTGGATAACTATTGTTGAATTGGAAGGTTGTATTTTGAAATGTGACTAATGGGAGCCAACTAAAAGTACATAATATCTCTCTCTATATATAAAGATGCCCATAAGCTAGAATGACACATTGAAATACATCAGAAAGCATCTTGATGTGGACTTCTTAACATTATTGGTACCAAATGAATGTCTATACTAAATTCATGCCAGACACAAATCTCTTTAGAGACTCTAGCAAAAGTAAAAGAGGAGAGCAACAAAGATGATTAGGGAACCGAAGGCTAAAACGTATAAACAATGGTTGCTGGAATTGGGTATGTCTATTTTAATGAAAAGAAGGACTAGGGGTAACATGATAGCAGTGTTCCAATATCTCAGGGGCTGCCACAAAGAACAGGGGTTGAGCTATTCTCCAAAGCACCTGAGGGCAGGACAAGAAGCAACCTAGAACTAAGGAGAAATTTCCTGACAGAACAATTCATCAGTGGAACAACTTGCCCCCAGAAGTTGTGGGTGCTCCATCGCTGGAGGTTTTTAAGAAGAGACTGGACAGCCACTTGTCTGGAATGGTATAGGGCAGTGGTCGCTAACCTTTTCCAGACCGAATGCCCAAATCATGTGGGCACGGGCGCAAATTTAATTTAATTTAATTTATCGCATTTCTATGCCGCCCAACTCCCAAGGGACTCCCAAGGGACTCCCAAGGGACTCCCAAGGGACTCCCAAGGGACTCCCAAGGGAATCCACGCATGAATGCCTGAACCTCTAAAATGAATGTGTGTGTGGCCCCCTGCATGTGCATGAGGCCATCTCACATGCGTCCCACCACCCGTGCATGTGCACGTGGCCCCCCGCACATGCCACACCCCCAATGCATGCATGGCAGAGATCCAAAGATCAGCTGGCCAGTGGGAGGCTTGTGCGCATGTGCGGTGGAGCTGAACTGGGGCAACGACTCACGTGCCCCCAGAGAGGGTACTGCGTGCCACCTCTATCACATGTGCCATAGGTTCGCCATCATGAGTATAGGGTTTCCTACCTGAGCAGGGGGTTGGACTAGAAGACCTGCAAGGTCCCTTCCAACTCTATTATTCTATTCTATTCTGTTCTTTTCTTTTCTATTTATTCTAGTCTAGTCTAGTCTATTTATAGCTTTTTCTATATACACGGTCCCTGGTTTAGTTAAAAATAGATAAATCTGAGTACAATGCCATACTCAACCTATGATTTGGGTGGGGACTCTATCTATCAATCATTGCATTATAATAGAATGCTGGAAATACTCAACTCTGAATTATGCCAGAGAATTTACTGCTTAATAGTAAATAGCAATATAACAAAAGAGAACATAATTGAAAACACAGGGCATAATCTCATCAAGTTATTTTCAATTAAATATAATTAGACTTATTTCCTGTGAGTACCGCTCAGTTCTTTGTATTGTTTCCTCCCAAATTCCAGCATAAAGCTCCCAGCAAGTCTATCAAAAGCTGAGTGTGTTTTTGAACCATATCCCTGCATACACAAAGTTATAAATTTGATAGCTTTTGTTATTTTTTTTTTTTCACAAAGTCAGGGTGGGCTACAGTTTCTCATTCCGGTCCTGCATAGTTGGCAGTAGAAGGCAATAGTCATATTTCAGATGGAGACGTTCAGTTTGGAATCCCATTCTAACATATAAGTGGACATGTTGATGAACTGATTTTGATGAAGGGAAGATGTATCTCACAGATCTACAAAGTGATGTGGAGTGCAAACACCACTGTGAATGAAAGAAAGAACACCATTATGAACATGCAAAGTTGTAGAAACCACCAGATCAAATGCTTGTGTGCAACAGGAGAACTCCATTATATATAGCACAGAAATTAAAGCCATCACCCCTCCATAGAAAACCCATTACAGTATTTTTTGCTATTTCCATTTTATATATTTATTTATTAAATTTATATGATCCCACCCTACAAAGTGACTCTTGTTAGTTACTATTCCTATTGATTCAAAAGAATAGAATGTCATACATAAAGCATACAGTTTTGAAACTTCTAAACCAGCATTTAAACATAAATCAACTTGAAAGATAAACAGGTGAGAAATAGTTCGAAAAAGAGATATTTGGATATGATTTTCCACTTCCTTTTTGAAACCTAGACATTCAGAAAATTAAATTGAAAGTGATACCATTTTCTTTCATGCATATTTCTACAACCCAAGGTTTGAAATGGACCAAAGAAAGTTTACAGTTAGCATTTCATGTCATACCTATTTTCTTCATATGCCTATGCACACATACAATTTTGCACTTATTGAAGAGGGAAAAATAATACATTTCCATGAGAAAAATAATGCTGAAATAATAGACTGATTCCTCATACATTATCCATTTTCCTAATGCATCTGGAAAATGTTGACCATTCAGAGAATACATCTGCAAGACATTTGATGGAATATGACTCAAGGAAAGAAAATCACTCCTTTCCTTACTTCTGATGACAGGTAAGAGTTGGAAGGGACCTTGGAGGTCATCCAACCCCTTGCTCACGCAGGAGACCTGTACTAAGGATTCGAACCACCGAACTGACAACCTTTCTGATCGACAAGCTCAGTGTCTTAGCCACTGAGCCACCTAGTCAGGTATCTCAGTGTCTCCCAAACCAGAGCAAGTGTCATATTGTCAGTGCAATGCAGAGTCTTAAAGACTGGAATTCTCCATTTTGCCTTTCAAATGCTCATTGGGTTCTATTTCTCCCCATCCAATCATAAATTCCAATTAAATCACTTTACCTACATTGTTGTTGATGGATACTGTGCATAAAATAAAGGATTAAGACAGAGCTATAATTTTAAATATGGTGGAAATACTAGCATCTTTGCTGGTCTATGTGTTTTGCTGTTCTAATGTTCTAATGTTCTGAAATTATTTGCATGAAAACAATGGGCTAGCCACTTATGCAATTGCTATGGCGGATGCATGCTGCGGATGGAAACAGCAATACTGTGTTGCCTAAAGCTGAATGCGAGATTGAGTAGTGCATGTTTGCTGAAATTGCTTTTGAAGGAGCCCTGGTGGTGCAGTGGTTAGAATGCAGTATTGCGTGCAAATTCTGCCCACAGCCTGGAGTTTGATCCTGGTGGGTCTCAAGGTTGACTCAGCCTTGCATCCTTCTGAGGTCAGTAAACTGAGGACCCGGATTGTTGGGGGAAAATAGGGCGACACCGTAAACCATCCAGAGT